AGCAATTACTTATGAAAATCGATAACAAATATTAATTAACCTCATATTTGCGTCAATGATAAGGAATTGATTTAAAATACATATTTCTAATTATGACATTGTAATTACATACTTAATAATTATAAAACAAATTTAAATTTTTTTTTGAAAAATTTTTTTTTTGTAACAATTCTTACCATGCCGAATTGGCCTGCTCCCAGTCCAGAAATTCAACACTTACTTCGTATACTTCCAAGTCAATGTAGTGGTCATCCTTTAGGCCCTCTTTGGCAAGCATTCAATCCTATTAAAGTTGATAAAAAAACTAAAGCCATATGCATTTTTTGTAAACATGAAAATCCTATATCCGGAACTGCTGCTGTAATAGGTGCACATATTAAAAAGTATACAAAAATTTCTTTAAATGTTCAAATCTATCTTATTAATGCACAAGAATTTCAAAATTAGCAAAACAATATACAAAAAAGTTTGGAATTTTTACAATCATCATCGGATATGTCAATCGATTCTACCTCAATTACACCAATTTCAAGTCAAGATTTAACAGTTACAATGTCTAATAATAATCAATTTTTATTAGATTCATATAAATCTAATCAATTATTACTAGAAGGCATGATTGAGGGTGGGGCACCTCTTTCTCTAGTTGATGCACAGAAATTTAAAGAATTTATTTATTCAATAAATTCTCAATATCATTTGCCAGCAAGAAGACAGCTTTCAAGTCATATTCTTGATAATGTATATGATAATATTCAATTATCAATTCAACAATTTATTTATAAATCTGATTGGATTACCATAGCAACAGATGGCTGGACAAATATTCGTCAGGATCATCTTGTAAATTATATTGCAATTGGTAAAAATAGAAAATCTGAACTTATTAAAGTAAAAGATACTCATGGTGAAAGTCAAACATCAGCAACAATTCTTCATGATTTAATAGAAGTTATAACAGAACTTGGAATTGAAAAAATTAGTGCAATTATTACAAATGGAGCTGCTAATTATATTTGAATGAAAACAATGTTAGTACAGCAATATCCAAAAATTTTAGCATTACCATGTGTAGCTCATGAATTAAATCTTTTAGTTGGTGATATGCTAAAACACACATATATGAAATCTACTATTACTTTAGCATTAAAAATAATCACCTATTTTCGAAAAAGTACACAAGCTATTCAATTTATTTGTGATCGTGCTTGTGATAATACTTTTTGGTTTTCTCTTCCAACACTTACCCGATGGAATTCATATTTTATATCTCTAAAACAAATTCAAGACAAATCACGATTTTTAAAAGAAATGATATATAAAAAATTTCTTTCAAATAATAGTGAAATTATGTTTATTTTAAAAAATGATACATTTTGGAGTCAATTAGAAATGATTATTCAAATTTTGGAATTATATTCTCTTGTACCTATTATTTTGGAATCTCAATATTCAACAATTGCTGATGCAGTTTATTTATGGTATCGAATGCAAAAAATTTCTTATACAATTTATGATGACTTTCAAAATTATATTATATCTTGAATTAAATATCGTTGGCAAAGGATTTATAATTCAGTATTTTTAATTAGCTGGTTATTACATCCAAAATATTTTTTAGCAAAAGTTATTCATCTAGAACTTTTAACTTTTGTTAAAAAAGAAGCTAGTACTTTATTTAGCCGATTATTTCTAGATAAAGATATTTTAAAATTTCGGATGCAACTTATTAACTGGAACAACAAAGCTTATCCATTTAATTTTGAAGGAAATTGGGATGATTATTTAGTCAAGAATCCTGTTTATTTCTGGAATAATTTTATTAATGAAATTCCAGAATTAGCAATATTTGCAGCATGGCTTATGTCAATACCACCTACATCTGCTGATAGTGAATGATTTTGGTCATTAATGGCAGGTATCCATACTTTAAAACATAATAGATTAACAAATGATCGAGCAACAAAACTTTCTTGTATCAGATTACATATTTCTCAAAACAAAAATATTTTGAATCGTATTAAAAAAAATATTAATCAATTTCAACAAGTAGACCAAACAAATACTAATACTACTAATGATTCAGATACAGCTTATAATTTGGAAACAGATTTTATTACTGAAGACGAATTTTATACTTTTCAGAATTTAGAGCAACAACTGGAAAATCCTGAAGAAACTTTATTAACAACGATTAAAAATTTTGATGGATTTAATACATACGATCAAGTTTCTTATAATCAAATTATTGAAGAAGATAATACTTGGTCTTTTAATCAAATTGAGTATAGCATGGCACTGGAAGATTTGTTTCTTCTTGAAAAATTAGATAACGTTTCTTTGAATTTTTGATTTTTTTTGATTTGATTTAAATTTTTTTTTATTGAGCAAATTTTTTTTAGAACATTTTATTTTTATGTAGCAACATGCAAATTTTTTTAACAAATTTTCTGATCAATTATTATTTTTTAAATGAATTGTAAACAAATTAGTTTTTTTGCATGAATATAATAAATTATATCGCATATATATATTGCATATATACAGCGTAAGCCTTAAATTCTAAGTTATTATTACTTAATTGAAATAATATTAAATAATATTAAATAATCATATATAATCAATTTAGCCCATCACTA